TCTCTGTCTCTCAAAACTGAATAAACATTGAAAAATAATAATAAAAATAATGTATTACACCAAGAAAAACAATTTTATCTCTAAAAAGTTACATCTGATTTTAATTATTTGTTGCAACTTTTACCATTTGTACAAGTCATACATATTCATAAATTAGATGTCCAGACTATGATGTGCTTGGATACTGATAGTGGAATATATATTAATGAAAGAAACCTTTAAGTAGAACTATCTTTATTTAAATAAATTAAATGTACCTATTTTTCCCAAGTCAGAGACACAGAAGATATATCACAGATATGTTCATTCATAGGTCAGTGGGGACCACACACACAAAGTTTTTAATTGTGGTGAGACATGTAAAAATCAAAAGTTGGTAACTAACTACATGCCTATTACTATGGGAGCAAACCTACTGTAAATGAGGACAGAATCAGGTTATAGCAATTTTATTTAAATAGAAATCGGGGCGCCTGGGTGGCGCAGTCGGTTAAGCGTCCGACTTCAGCCAGGTCACGATCTTGCGGTCCGTGAGTTCGAGCCCCACGTCAGGCTCTGGGCTGTTGGCTCAGAGCCTGGAGCCTGTTTCCGATTCTGTGTCTCCCTCTCTCTCTGCCCCTCCTCCATTCATGCTCTGTCTCTCTCTGTCCCAAAAATAAATAAATGTTGAAAAAAAAATTAAAAAAAAAAATAGAAATCAACAAAATATTGGAATTCAGGTAATAAAATGAATATAATTCAAAAACATATAATTGAGTGAGAACCTTAGATATCAATGAGCTATGTAATATGTTGTTCAATTTAAAGCATATGTCATATTTATTTTATAAAACTATACTCCATTGTAAAGACATTTATTAGTTTTTGTAAAGGAGGACCTATGTGGAGAAGAGAAATACGAGTGGAGAGGGAAAATTAGTACTCAAGATATACATGGATGTGGAATTTGGGTGTCATTAACTCAATTTACTCCTTGAGGTTAGAAAAAGAAATAAATATAGGAGTTACACACATATTCATAACTTTTATTCCTTCTGAATCTTTTAAAACCCTATAGGCCATATTTAGATAATTTTGTCTTTATCCTCAGATATAAAATATGGAAGAAGTCTTTGCAGGAAATGCCGAAAATATGTACTTTGTAGGTGATTAAGACATATATGAAATAATCTATTAAATCCAGATACCTGAGTAAATGCAATAAAAATAACAACTAATAAAAGCAGGTGAATTGTAGATGTAAACACACACACACACACACAAAACAAACAAACAAAAAACATTTCCTCAATAGAGAAATCAAAGTTACTGTGGATAATTGGCAAACACCAGTGGCATCATTTCCAGTTCTCAGAGGCTTTGGGAATAACCAAGAAGTGCATTCAAGCTCCCAGGGGAATGTCGTGAAGGGAGGGGACACTCATAAATTCTTCTCACAGCAGTCAGGCTCATAATCGCATGGGGGAACAAGAAGCCAGTCCTCGCTTAGGGTAAGTAGATGTCACTGATTATAATGATTGCTAGATTAGCTGCAGCAATGATTTTTGATGGCTGTCTCCAATTTAAATGAAAGATATGAATATAGTCACCAATTCCAGACTCAGTAGATTCTATCAGGTATATTAATAACGTCTGTTCATAACCAGGTTTCTTTGGAGTAATGGTATATGTTTACCAGTATTATTATGTTCATTGAAGGTGATAAGGAACATCATTTTTATTTGTCATTATTCCTACATTTATGTTGAGATTCTAGACAATAAACATCCTGAAGGGGGAGTCAGCATTTTTTGCAAGCTCAGCTTAAAGTCACCCTATCTCCTTCCCTCCCTCTCTCTTTCCCTCCCTCCTCTGAGTGGGAGAGCAATGTTCTCCATTTAACCAACCCATTTATTTCATTTGAGGCTATTGGCAAAATGTTACAGAATATCGACTTGAGATTGGGTGCTTACATTTGCATAAGAGAACATCCTGGGACTCATGTCCATCCTCCTGGTCCTGGTACAGCTCTCGAGTTTCTGCTTTCATCTAATAAGAGTCAGGTGTGATGCTCAATTTCCTTGTTTCTTTTCAGGCAGTGCTTGGTTAGGGCTGGTGGGAGGAGGGCCACTTAATACTCCATTGAATTTCAGAAGATTTTCCAGGGTTTGTAAAATCACAATAAAATGGATGTTGGGATGAAGAGGTTTGGCCAACTGTACGAACTACTGTGAATTAGTCCTTTCTTTGGGTATAATTTTTGTAGCTTCAGGCATTAGACTTTGTCATTTGTTTGGTTGTCGCTAGTGAATGTTTGTTATTGCTTTGCTGTTGATATTTTGTTAATTTGAATAGATTTTTGGGTAAAGCAAATTTTGTGAAGTAGTTTTATCTCCCAAATTAAACTTGAATTTTTTATTTGTGGGCAACCAGAGGTTCTAGTTTTTAAGGTTATAAAAGGTTAACATTTTAAGGTTATAAAAGTTTAACATTTTCTTATAATGTTAAGTCCTTGACCTTGTAAGGATGAGCAAATATCCGATTTCTTCATCCTATATAGGGATAAACATTTTCCCTAGCTCCACTGAATAGTTCGATTTTGCATGCTTGTCCTAACATGCTACTTCAGTCATAAACTATAGTTCTATTCATTCATGGATCTTTTCCTGAAGTCCTTATTCTGTTCCACTGATGTATGCCATATTGTTTCAATAATTCCAGCTTTATAATTTTACCATTTGGTCTTTTCAAAATGTCTTGCTTATTCCATATAATTTGTATTTTCTTAATGCCTTTGAAATCATTTGCAAATTCTACAAATATCCTTAGATTTCAATTGCAAGGGCATCGATAAAATAGACTAATTTCAGCAGAACTGACATTTTGTCACTGCATTGTGCAATCTAGGAACATAGTATTTGTACTAATTTATTTAAGGCTTCTATAATGTTTCCATAAAACATTTTAATTTTTCTCCTTTTAAGAGTAGGTTCTGCCTAGTTTTTAAAAGATATCCTACAATTATGGAATTTTCTTTTTATTCTTAAGTTTTATAGCTTTTATCTATCCTAAATATTATTAATTCCTCATCTACTCATATGGTCATTTTGTTTTCTAATTCATTCTGATAATGTGGTGAATTCTAATTATAGATTTTCCAAAATTAAACCTTCCAGCCAAACATGGAATCAACACAGCTTGAACAAGTGTTTTATAATTCTTACACATTTTTAAAAGTGATACCAATAATATATTAGTATTGTTTAGGGTTTTATATCTATATAAGTGAAATTATAGGCCTGAATATATTGTGGTTTTTTAAATTATATTTTTATTTTTTAAATCAGGATTTTGTGCCTCCTACAATGAGTCACACTGTAGTCCTCATTTCTTATATATTGGAGAGTTTGAAATGATTTTTTTCCCCAAAAAACTTTGGAAGCACCTACCTTTAAAAACAATCTGAAGGAGAAAAGAGTTGGAAAAGTAGAGGTAGATAAAGTTCCATCCTTAAATTCAATGTGTTAGAACCAACCAGTTTATGTATTTTTATGGAAGATGAAATAAAGGGGTAAGAATTGTGTTCAAACTAAAATATAGTAAATATATTCCATTTCTGTCCATGCCAGGTCCTTTGGCTTTATCTGGATCAAATAATCATTTGTCCTGGTCCATGTACATTTAAATAGGTAAAATTTATGTACATGGAATAAATCATGCCACATCTCTTTCTCCTTGTTCCCTATCATCTTTGTCTTTCATTCATGTCCTTCATGCAATATTATTTTCCAGTCTCTAACGCATTCGAAATAGCACTGCCTACTTTGGAGTGACATTTCTCTTTGTTGAATCACTATTTTATAGCAGTTTTCTGGATAATTTTAGGGGGTACATTAGCAAATACATTTTAATAATTTTTATTTGCTTTAATATGTGCTAGAAAACTGTAAATACAACATTAAGCCAACATCAGAGATATTAGTTCTTAGGTCAAAGCAAATGTGAGAATGACACTTAGTGTTTTTCTCATATTGAGTAACTTCTAAATGCAGGTCTCACTTGGTATGCAACACAGCAAAAATCATAAACTGAAAAGAAAAACACATACATGTGCTGAAATTTCACATGCACTGTTCTAGAGAAAATAAAAGTTACTTATGTATGTTACAGTGCACATGTTGGGGACTTCTGCAAAATAGCTATCTTGTCTATCCTCAAAAAATCATCAACAATATTTAAAGCTCATAAAACCATAGTGAAATGATAATATGGTTTCAAAAATGAAATGAACAGTGGAATGGGAATGCCATTAGTATGCAGAGTTATAGTGAGAAAGTAAATCAAAGTCTATTCAATTAGTTAATCACGGTTTTCTCTGGAGGTTGAGACTAAGGTTGCAAGGGCAAGAAGTAGAGGGTATTCCTTTTATTATAATTCCTTCCAGTTTTTAAGCGAAAAACATTTCTAAAAAGGATATCAGGATTTCCACTCAAGATCAAACGTTTCTAATGATGCACTGTTGACAGAGTCATAAAGGGGTTGTATATATTTGATAGTTGTAGCTAGCATTTGGCACAAAAAAAAAATGGCTACTATATATCTTAGGTTATAACACTTTCTAAATTTGGTTCCAGCTTCAATGTTGGTGGTGAGTCTTGTTTCAAGTCACCTCATCTAAATTTTTTTTTAGTGTTTAATTAAGAGACAGAGACAGAGCATGAGTCGGGGAGGGGCAGACAGAGAGGGAGGCACAGAATCCAAAGCGGGCTCCGGGCTCTGAGCTGCCAGCACAGAGCCAGACATAGGGCTCAAAGCCACGAACTGTGAGATCATGACCTAAGTCGAAGTCAGACGCTTAAGTGACTAAGCCACTCAGGCGCCCCTTAAGTCACCTCATCTAAAAACTTGGATTTGTCTTACCCATAATGACTTTGGGTTCTAAAATGGGAACAGATGCTGTCTCCAGAATCTCAAGGACTCTTGTGATGTTTCTCCCACAGCATTCTTCCTTCATGGCCAGGATGAACCAACCAAATCAAACAGTGCTAACAGAATTCATCCTAATGGGAATTACAGACCGGCCTGAGCTGCAGGCTGCCGTCTTTGGACTCTTCCTCAGCATCTATGTGATCTCAGTGGTGGGCAACCTGGGCATGATCATCCTCACCAAGGTGGACTCCAGGCTACAAACACCCATGTACTTCTTCCTCAGACACCTGGCTGTCACTGATCTGGGTTATTCAACAACTGTAGGACCAAAAATGTTAGTCAATTTCATAGCTAATCAAAACACAATCCCCTATAACGGGTGTGCCACACAGCTGGCTTTCTTCATCTTGTTCATCATCAGCGAGCTTTTCATTCTGTCAGCAATGGCCTATGACCGCTATATGGCCATCTGTCATCCTCTGCTTTATATGGTTGTTATGTCACAAAAGGTGT